CCCCTCTCATCCCCTCTCATGCCAGCTGCTGAGGAAGGGAGAAGAATTGGGAAGAGAGAAAACAAGAACAAGACACTGAGGCACAAAGCACCTTGGGTCTGGTGCACCCCTTCCTACCTCTGGTGGCCTGGCTACTTTCCTGTATTTCTTCAGGGATTGTGGGGGTAACCCAAGAACTTCTGGTTCTTTGAGATGAACTGCAAGTCCAGCATGACCCAGGCTAAATGATCCAATCCTCTGCTTCTTAGGTGTTGCTGGCAAAAATCTGCCTTAATTAAACAGCAGGTGTCAGGACAAGGAAAGCCTTTTTCAAAGCCACTTCGACGCCCTTCACTTTTAAGCTACCTATGGGCCAACAGCAAATCTCACACAGCCAAGATAATCTCACCATTTTCAAATCAAGATATTTAATAAGCACATGTAGGTGGGGAGGGGTAAAATGGTGACTAAGACATAGTCCTCTGAAGGTACTTAAAATTCAGTTACAGTTTTTGTATCTAAAAAAGTTAATGAACATTTAAAAATCCTTAGTTAACAGAGACAACAGAAAAGAGGTCATGGGGCAGCATGTGATTGTGTTTAAGAAATGCTCAGAAAGAAACAAAGCTATGCCAGGGTGCCAGGCCAGGTGGGCTTCTGTGGAGCTGGGCACTGAAGAGCAAGGGGGTCTGGGAGTTGGTGGGGAGGAGGAAGCTTCGAGGAGGGGCTGCAGGCATAACCACCAGGCCAGCAAAGGGCTCCTTGTAGGAGGACAGGTGCTGGGTGCTGTGGCCAGTGGGAGTGCAGGGGGCAGACTGGGCCAGGCTGTGGGCAGAGGAAAAAGTTTTCCAGGCAGTGGGGGCTACTGAACACTCCTTATCCCTTAACTGGAGAGGAATGGGATGAAAGTGCAGGGACAGCCCCTACTCAGCACCAGCAAACCAGACACTGAGAGTCACCCTTGTCCTCCTGCAGCTCCACCCCACACACTTCCCACACAGCAGGGAAGAAGAACAGACTAGGTTCTCTGGAGACGGTGGGCTCCTTCCAGGACCTACTCCCTGCACGCAGCCCAAAGATTAGTTGTTGCCTGTTGCCCATAGAGGCATCTCCTCTGCAACCTAAGAAGCCACCTCTAACACCAGCCCCCAAAGGCAGGTTAGATGCCCCTGAGAAAGGCTCTGACAGCTGTTGTTCCTCCCTTGTCATGGCTCTCATAGGCCTTTACTGTAATTATATCCACAAATGTCTGTGCTCCCAGTGGACTATAGGATCCATGAGGGCAGGGATATACTAAAAAAGTAAATGAATAAATAAACAGATGATGGAGGGAGGAAGGGAGGGAGAAAAAGGGGGGTAGGAAGGGATGAATGAACAAATAACTAAACAACCAAAGGGCAGCTGCCCGCAGGGTCACTGCATTGCACAGCTAGCTCTGGGGGATGCTATTCGGATCATGTTCAATGTGGACAGCACCTCCTGCAGCACAATTGCTAGGGGTAGGGCAGGGAGGTGGTTGGTCAGAGGGAGAAAGTTGGCCTGCTGGCCTCAACCAATGAAAACAGACCTTTCTTTGTGTCCAATCAATCTTCCTGTATCTACTGGAGGAGTCTCAGAGAAGGGGAGATCAGAAAAAGCCAGAGTGTAGCAGACACATCCCTGACCCTCCCTTCCCACCACACATACTGAGATGTGCTGAGTGAAGCCTCAAAGCCCACAGGATGCCATTAGAGCTTGGGAGGAAGACATGTGTCCCGCAGGCCCATTCTCCTTCCTCAGACACCTGCTCCTGCCTATCTTCTCTGGATGTCATCAAAGGTCCCAGTTGGGACTGGTGTATGACACCCACATGTTCCCCAATTCACACAAGGGCATGCCCGGTAGGCTGAGAGAGCCATCTGGCACTAGCAGGGTTACACAGCCTCCCTGCCACAAGGAAATCCCTCACTCTGGGTCCACAGCACCCTCCCCATAATTGCACCATGCCAGGCTGATACTGTTGGCCAGCCTATATTCCACAGGGACAGTAGTCATTCTGCTTCCAGGAGGGGGTGGTCTCCCATCAGCAGGAGGTATTCTCTCTAGAGTGCCTCCTCAAGGGCTTCCCATTCAAATCAGTTACCTGGTATCTTTGAAGGCCTGATGCCCACCTGGGATTACCTGTCCCAGGATGTGCTCTTCACCCTGCTCCATGCATGCCACTCTTCTTTGGAATCCAGCTGCCCTTGCCCACTGACCCAAAGAGATGCCATCACTATGCCAGACACGCAAACAAGAGAAAGCCACATCCCTACACTCCTTCTCCTAACCCCTCTCAGCTCATACAGACAAGCCCATGCTGCTCCAGAAGGCTCTGCCAAGCTCAGGTGGCCCAAGCCCCCATGTATGAAAGGTAATGGACCTCTGAGGTCATACAGGAAGAGAGAGCCAAGGTGGGAGTGAGGGTCAGGCCTCAGGGTGCTCCCTCTACCACACAGGCTGCAGCGGAAGCTGGTACCACCAGATGCAAAACTGCATGCAGGCAAGGTAGAAGAAGTGGCTCTGGTGGCAATTCCCCATCCCACCAGGCTTAGAGATGTACAGGCCTCCTATCTAACTCTAGGACCTCATAAACTTCGTAAATCCTAAGGTAAACAACCCAATAGCCATACCACAAAATGGAAAGAGGTTTTTCAGGGCCTTAGCGCTCCCTGCCAGTAGGGACCAGGGTGGCCAGGAGCCAGTCTCACTGATGGCAGTGCCTCTCTAATTTCCAAGGGCCCACAACCCTGCCCCTGACCAACTAGCTTAGCATTCCTACCTTACCAGGTCACCAGACCCAGCCATAAGCCTGGCCAGACAGTGGCAATCATCACCCCCTCTCAGGGAGGCTCCCCAATTCTTGGCTTCCTCAATTCAAGGTCATCTTGTTTCCCAATGACATGCTAGTGAAAAACAGTGGACTGGGAACAGGAGGTGTGGACTGCAGCCCTGGAAGGGGACTCTGGGCAAGGCCTCCCCTTTGCCTGGGGCTCAGATTTCCCATCCCAATGGAAGGTAGGTGGGGGTCATTTCTTAGGCTTCAGCTCTTGCTTCTGTGATTTTTAGGAGCAAAGGGGGTTTGCAGGGCTCAGCAGGGACCTCAGTTCATCAGGGATTCTGAGGGAGCCCAGAGTTTTCACTCAAACTCACTAGAGATATTTTCCTTATCAAATCCCTGGCCCTTTCTGTAGCTTCTTCAGATCTGGAATAAACAAATGTTTGTTGAGAAGCTATGGGGGTCCAGGCACTTTGAGAGACACTAGGGAAACATGAAGGAATAAGAGAACTGTCTTTAAGCAACCGTTTTTCAGTGACAGAAAGTGAGTCACAAAGAGGCCTCCAATTTTGCTGAAGGCAACAGAGGTAATAATTCAACTCCCAGACTGCCTGATCCCTATAGGTTCTCTCCTAGGGCTCCAGGCCAGGTAAGATCAGCACTGGGTTGTGAAGACCACCAAAATCCCTTCCAGGCACAGAGAAGAGTCAGCTTATTACATTTGTAAAATGGGGATGTAATGATAACAGAAAATCGGAGTCTAGAATACAGGCTGGCTGGCTGAGTCGATCTTGTTCTGAAATGCTCAGCATGCCCCCCAACCCATCCCCATGTTTGGGCCTGGCCACCACCCTCTATCCATCGCAGGTGATGAGCATGAGCAACAAGAGCCGGCCACGTGACCGCCATAACCCTCGTGTACACGCATCACGGTAGCACTATTCCTGGCCTACCAGGTTCCCCCACAGTTGCCTTTCTCTAGACCCTCCTTGTCAGACAGGCACCAACCCAGGTGAACAGGACTGGCCTGCAGAGCCAGAGCTGGGGGTCCTGCCCTCCAGGGATGCCTTCTCCCAGAACAGAGCTGACCAGGGCCCAGCTTGTCTCCCTGCAGCCCCCCGTGTGAGGCCTCTGGAGGGATGCTCTGAAAGCCACTCTTTGCTACAGGTGGCAGAGGGGGCCCAACTCTTCGATCTGGGTGCCAGAGACGTTCTCCTGGGGAGGCTTCAGAGCAGCAAAGAAGCTGTTCCTCTCCCCCTCCCTTAGCTCTGGCCAGCTGCCACAGTGACCTCCCCTCCACCAAGAAGGGCGGTGAGCTGGGAGGTGGGGGTGGGAAGAATCCGCCCATGCTCTCAAGAGGGGTGCTGGGAAGCCAGGCAGGGCGTGTCGCCGGGGCCTTTCTCTGCCCAGAGCCAGGCTTCACAGCCTCTTGGTGTAAGGTGCCCCTGTACCATCCCCCAAATCGCCTCGAATTAGGATGCTCCTCACTGCCATTCCCCAGACCCCTGAACACCAAGAAGGCTAACGTGCTCTGGCGAAGGACAGCGGGTCTAGAACCTTCTGCGCCCAGTGGGAAGTAAGCCAGGGGAGGTAGGCGTCCTGTTTCCCCACAGCCTGCTCCGCTCTTCCTGCACTGCTCTTTCGAGAAAGAGACAGGTGTCGGTCTTTAACCCCCGGCGGCCGTCTGTTCCAGGGCCTGGATGTGCCCTTTTGCATGGTTCCTGGCAGTGTCCGTAGGGAACCCCTCCAGAGCAGCGGGGTGGGGGGAGGCCAGACCCCAATCCCACCTCGTTCTTCCAAGAGGGGCGCCCGTCGTTCCCCCACCCCCGCCTGCACCCAGCCACCTGCGCGGTCGCCCGCAGCCGGTGCCGCAGTGCGAGCTAGCCAGCGAGCCCGGCGCCTTCACGCCTCAGCCGGCCCCGCGGAGCGAGCCGCCGCCCTCCGGCCTCCCTGCTGCGCCGCACCTGCACCCGCACCGCTGCCCCCCACCCAGATCCCACCCTCACCCCCACTCCTGGCGCCAGCGCCTCCACCGTCCTTACCCTTGGCCCCTCCCCAGCCCGGCCCCGCCCGAGCCGGCCCCGACCTCCTCATCCCCATCCCTCTCCTCCACACGGGCACGGAGGGGCCTTTCCGAGCCGGGGCCGGGGGTCCCAATGGGGTGGGCGATTGGGCGGCGGGGGCTGACTCGGCGCCAAGCCAAGAGAAAAAGCCAGGTACTTACCGCTCTGCTCCCCCAGGAACACCAACTTGAATTTTCTCAGTGGATTCCCAAAATCTCCCCCTGCGGACATGATGCTGGCGGCCGGGGCCGGGAGAGAAGGAGGAGGAAGAAGCGAAGGAGCAGGGAGGGAGAGGAGGAGGGCGAGGGGAGGCGGCCGGCGGTGCGGGAGCCGGAGGGGGAAGGGCTGGCTGCGCGCGTCCCTGACTCCCCAGCTGCGTCCCGGCCCCGGCCTGCGGCTGCGTGTCCAGCAGCAGCGGAGGAGGAGGAGGAGGCGGAGGAAGGCTGGGGCTGGGCTGCAGCGGGCGGCGCCGGCTGCGGAGCGAGGGGCGCGCTCTGGACGCCCGAGGCGCGGCGCTGGCAGCGAGGCGCTGGCGGAGCGGGGCGCAGGGACCGCGCGCGGGGCGGAGGAGCGCTCTCCAGAGCCGCGCCAGTCGGCCCCCTCCCGCCTCCGTCCTCCGCCGGCGCCTGCGCTCTGCGCGCTCCCCAGCCTCTGATGTCATGCGGGGCCCGCGGTGCTGCGGGGCTGGGGGGCGTCCGCCCGCCCACCCCGAGCCCACACCCGGGCAGGAGGGAACCGCCGCGCTGTGCCTCTGAGAGCCTCCGGGATCGGACCGTCTCTCGCTGCCCCGCTGTGTCTCTCTTCCCCACTCGACCCCTATTTTGAACCCAGAAAAATGACGCGAAATTGTCAGGGGACATTTATTTCTGGTCTTTTAGACCTAGATGCCAGTCGTTTCCTCCACCTCCACCTTTCCTCCGCCGATGCACAGTGCAGTAGTCCGACGGGGCGGAAAGGGAGGAAGGTGGTGCGGGGACAGCCAGGGTGTGGCGAGGCGGCTCGGAGTGGGCAGACTTGCGCATACCTGGCGCACCTGGCTCAGGCGGGGCTCGACTGTTGCCTGTGTGGCCTCTAGCCCACCCTCCCGTCTCTAGGCCCAGACCCTTTATCCAGGCAGCTTCTCTGGGGTCCGTGGGTGCCCCGCAGAGCTGACCAGCGAGAGGAGCTGCCAACGTAGGGCGCGCCTACCTCAGACAAACTGCTCTTACTGATCCTTTAATGCTAAATCCTAACGTGCCCCATGGGAGAGAAGGCGCCCTGACGCCCTGAATGCCAGCGCGGCTGTCTCCAGTACCGTGCCCTGCGATTTTTGATCCTGGGGTCGCTAGGCTGTCAACGCCACTCCTTGCCCTGGCAATTATGTGTATCTAGACAATGAACTCCCAGAGGACACTCTGGAGACCCCCCAGTCGCTTCTGTATAGCCTGGCCCATTGAGGCACATGGAGTAAATTGTGGATGAGAACAAATGCCAACCAAGCACGAGGAACGCTCCCAGGAGAGCCGACGCTAAGGCGTCCTGGTTAATCAAGGTTTCACAAAGCTGCCTCTTTCAGTCCTGCCACCACGTGGTCTGGTTCATTTGGGCTGTTCAGTGAACATTTATTTAGGGTTATAATCCACATGTCTAAAACACACTGTTATAGAGACAGGAGGGAGACAAGTTTCATCTCCAGGTTTCCAGGGGACACTTTTTACCCCCTTTTGACTTGCAGGGCTTGCTTGTGCTGTCTCCCTGCCTGTCTTGCTGGTGTATTCACCTAGAGTCTCTCTTCCATTGCTTGCTACAACCTGACCACAAGTTCCATGACAGCAATAGTTGAGGCTCCACTACTGGATACCAAGGACCTAGCTCAGAGCTTGAGAAATAGTTGGTGAATATTTGAATGAACATCTGGAACCCAAATTAAAATAAATGTTCTGTTCTCAAGGTCACCTTTGGTTCAGAACCCTAGAAGTTGTAGATTATCTCCCTGGCATATCTGCCCCACTGTGCCTGGCATCAGGCTCAGGGTAACCCTCCAGACACACACTGGCTTTTGCTCTGGGGTTCTTGCTCTCTCAGGAGACCACACCCAGCATGGGGCTGAAGGAAGCTCTGGAAGGAGAGGAGACTCCCAAGTCACAGCCCTTCCTGCCTCTATGAGTGGTCCCTCCACAGGAAGGTCAGGGAGCTCCCAGCCAGACAACCCTCCTCCAACCTGTACCTTCTCCTAGCATCTGGTGCTGTCTTCCCAGATCCTCTCATCCTGAGGAAATCATGGATGACCAAACAAAGCAGCTGGGGTGTGACAGAAAAGGCATAATTTTTAGGTAAGCCTAGGAGAGTCCTGTATATCCCCTGATCATCTGGCCCTTCACGCACAAAGTGGTATGGCAGTGGAGGCAGGAGGGCTGAGGCATGGGCCCTTCTGGATGCCTCTTCTAAGTCAGCCCACGTGCTTACCAGACCTCTCTGGATGACTATGGGTTAGGGTACTTGGGGGGACTCTGTCAAGATTCTTCTAGTCCCAATGACAAAAGCCCAACTCCAACTACTGGGCTGGCTCATTGTAGCTGGAGCAAGTACTGGTGTTGCTTTCAGAATGAGGTCATCATGCTGTGGGAATGGCAGCCTCAGAAACTCCAAGTCTCTTTCCTTCTCCATCTGTTACTGCTTGTCTCCCCTTTTGTGGGGTCTTGTCCTTAACCTGCCCTAGAGCAGACAGGCTTTCTCCATGCGGCAGAAAATGTGACCACTGTGAACCTCAGTTTGGCAACCCCACTAGAAGAGTTTTTTTCACACTGCATTTTTGTGTTCCATTTTTAAAAATCCTGTAAATCTTCCTACTGAGCGTGTGCTGTGTATATATATGTTAGCTATAAAGGAAACCTATAGCTATGAATGCCCATTTACCTTCCACCCAGCTGGAGAAATCAAATTTTACAAATATACTTGCCTCCCTCCCCAACTTGGAAATCCAGAATCTTGGCTTTTCTTTGAGTTTTCTCTCATTTGGATGTGTCTTTCAACAATGTTTTGTTTTGCATCTTTTGAATTTTATATAAGGAATCAAACTGTATATTCTGTCCTATGACTTGCATTTTTCTTAACATCACGTTTCTGAGATCCATATGTTGATTCACATAGCAGCAGTTCTTTCATTTTTACTTCTGTTTATTACTCCACTGTATGCCCCAATTTTTAAATGGTTTTCAGTAAAATGTGTTCAGTTAATTTTTTTTTAATTTTAGATAATTTTAGACTTGTATAGAGGTTGCTGAAAATAATACAGGAAGTTTCTGTGTATCCTTCAGCCAGCTTGCCCCAATGATAACATCTTATATAACCATATTGATTAGCAAAACCAGGAAATTAACATTGGAAAATGCACCCAGTTTTCTTTCTGCTACTATAAACGATGCTGCTGTGAACATTCTTTATGTGTCTCCTGATGCAGCTGTGAAGTTTTTCTAAGATGTTTCAAGTAGATGAATCATGAGATAGAAGCGTTTGTTTAATTTTATGCCGAACTATTTCTCAAAGGTAGTTGTCAGTTCATACAGTTCTATATTAACACCTTTATTTTTCATTTTCTTCAAGAAGGTCTTGACTGTTCTCAGCCCTTTGTTATTATATACACATTTTTAAATTAAACTTTTTATTTTGAGGTTATTGTAGATTAACAAGCAGTCAGGAGAAATAAAACAGATCCTTTTTATCCTTTATCTAGTTTCCCTCATGAGTAACATCTTGCAAAACTATATACTAGGATATCACTACCTGGATATTGACATTAAGACAGCAAAGGTATAGAACATTTCCATCATGGCAAAGATCCATCTTGTTCCCCTTTTAAACACGCACGCCTGTCCCACCCCTACACCCTTCCTAACCTCTGGCAACCACTAATCTGTTCTTCATTTCAATAAATTTGTCATTTTAAGAATCTCATATAAGTGGAATTTCACAGTATGAAACTTTTGGGGATTGGATTTTTTCACTCAGCATAATTCTCTGGAGAGTCACCGGCTTATTGTTTGGATGGATAATTAGCTTCCTTTTACTGCTGAGTAGTATTCCATAGTACAGGTCTACAACAGTTGGCTTAACCATTCATCTGTTGAAAGGCAACTGGGTTGTTTCCAGTTTGGAGCCATTACAGATAAAGCTGTTATGAACATTCACATATAGGATTGTGTATGAACATAAGTTTTTATTTCTCTAGGAGAAATGCCCAGGAGTGCAATTGCTGGGTCATATGCATGCTTGTTTGTTTGTTAAAGAAACCACCAAGCTTTGCACTTCCACCAGCAATGTATTATATAAGTGATCCAGTCTCTTCCCATCCTCACCAGCATTTGGTGTTGTTGGTATTTATTTTTTTAAGCCATTCTGAAAAGTATGTAGTGATATTTCATTGCAGTTTTAATTTGCATTTCTCTAATGGCTAATGATGTTGAACATCTTTTCATGTGCTTATTTGCCATCTGTATATCCTCTTGGTGACATGTTTGTTCATGTCTTTGGTCCATTTTTTAATTAGATTGTTTTCTTTACTGTTGAATTTTGAGAGTTCCCTATATATTCTAGATACTAGTCTGTTGTCAGATATGCAGCTTGCAAATATTTTCTCCCACTCTGTAGCATGTCTTTTCATCCTCTTAACAAGGTCTTTTGAAAAGTAAAAGTTTTTAATTTTGATGAAGTCCAACGCACTGACATTTTCTTTTATGAATTGTGCCTTTTGGTGTCATGCCTAAGAACTCTTTACTAAGCCCTAACTGCCAAAGCTTTTCTCCTATGTTTTTTGAAAAGTTGTTAAAAACAATTTTGTTTCACATTTACATTTATGGCCCATTTTGAATTAAATTTGTATGAGGTGTAAGACCTGGTTAGAGGTTTTAGGGTTTTTTTGTTGTTGTTGTTCTTGTTGCCTATGGGTGTCCAGTTACTTCAGCACCATTTGTTGAAAAGGCTGTATTTTCTCTGTTGAATTGCTCTTGCACCTTTGTCAAAAATCTGTTGAGCCTTGTTGCAGGGGTGGTGGTGGGAGTCCAGCCTCCTTACATGGGCTCTGCTGACCCTGCAGGTGGGAGGCCTTGGTACTGCCCAGTGCAGGTGAAAGTCCTGGCTCCCATCTTGGCCTTCTCTGGCACCTCCATCCTAGCCAAAGGATTGGGGCTGCTTGATACAGGCTGGCAATGGTGGAAATCTATACCCACCACTTGGACTTTGATGGCATTAAGTAGATGGGGTGGGGACAGATGGCACAGTTTTTACAATGGTGTTTGGCTGGAGTAGAAGTTGTTGGCTAAACATTTTCTGATTTGGCAGGTTGTACCTTTCCTGGTTTTTTGACTAGAGAGATTAAGCTTTTATGGGGGCTTGATTTTTATTTGTGCCTTTTGGTGTTTCTGGGTTGCCAACTTCTTCAGCTCAAAGTCCCAGATATATGAAGTACAAAGAAAACCCGAGGAGCTCATCATTGTTTCATTCCTTAGGTCCTGAGGTCCCTACCTGGTATGCCTCCTTTTCTCTCTACCTTTCAGAGTTTTCTTATGTTTGTTTTATGCATAATATCCAGAGTACTCAGTTGTATTTAGCAGGAGGAATAAGGAAAAGTATGTT